CCTTGTTAAATGCTTTCTGAAAATCCAGATACACCAAATCTACACCCTTACCCTCATCTACATTAGCAGCAAATGAGTACACAGTTCATAACTAGAAGAAATAATTGTTTGCTTTACTTTTTTATTTTCTGTTCTATGTTTTAAGAAAAATAAGTTTAAGAGCTTATTTGTAAATAGTAATAATGTATATATATACATAATGTATTATAACTGAAATGTGACTGTATTTTACAAAATACTAGTCCACTAACACACAGTCAATACAGATCACTAAAGGCCAGTTTTATATTCTTGGATACAGTAACAGGATTGCACATGTACTACATCATTGCAACTTCTGTAATATAAGCCAGGCACATCTGAAAGATCAATATAATAAAAATAATATATATACATATAAATGTATAATGTTATGAGATTTAAACTATTTAGACTAAACACCAATACAGAGACGCAGTAGTGAAAACCGATAAAATATTAAGTTTTTCTATAAAAAAAACATTAGATAATTATCTGAAGGTTATATTTTCCATGTGAAATTAGAAAATTTTCTGATGCATAAAAGTATTTTTAATCTTAAAATCAAAATTACTTGCATGTTGGATAGTCAACATTCAAAAAAGAAAAAAGGCATGAGAAAAATATTACTTAAGAAATCTTAAAACTTAATAAAAAAAAATCTGATATTTTGTGTATGAAAGCCTTGTAAAGTTTACTGATAATATGCGAAATTCCATGAAGATACATTTACTAATTTAAAAGTTATGGCATGGAAAGTACAACAAACACAAAATGATGAGGTCAATCCCAGGGACTGAGCCCATGCTGAGAGTTAATATTATGTATGTGATGTTAAGTGTCTGTAGATCTATTCAGAAACATAAATAATGACACTCCACCATTTATAGCACTATCAGTCATGACAACACCTCACATTTCGCCTAAAGTTCAGTCCTGTATATGGAGTTACACTGTAAAGTTACAGTTACAAGATACAGTACCACCCTTTTTCTAATCTGTAGATATGGAAACAGTTAATAATGAAGAGCAACTAATATCCAACTTTCTGAACACCACAGATTGGTTCTTAAAAATTAAATTAAATTTATTTATTTAATTTAATAGAAACTAATCAAGAAATTCAGTGAAAATTAACTGACGCAAAACCCTCATGTCGAATACAAAGGCAGACAATATTACTGCGTCAAACAGGCTGCATTCAATTACCAAGGCAGCCTTATGCAGATAATTAAATTCGTTAATGGTAGTGAATACCAGAACTCTAGCTAATCTGAGAATAACGATAAAGTTTAACTTCACGTCTTACAATACAAGTTACAGTTACACACTGTTTCGATGCTAGGCCTAAATTAAGCCGCAACAGGGTAAGGGTTACGAGCTAGGTTAATGATCAACATCTTTAAATTTTAAAAAGTGTGTTCTCCTACCTTTAAACCGGTTCCTAATACAATTACGTCGTACTCTTCATCCATATTTGCAAAATGAAGACTGAAACTTAACTGTAATAAAAAAATTACCAATAACTTTTATACCGGTATCCCCAGATTTCCACCCACTAATACTTCCCACACCTCAACGTAACACTTTCAACCGCTGAGTCGCTAACCAAACCAATGTTTGCTCGACTGTAATTCAGCTGTTGTGTGGCTTGAAAGTTGCAGATTATTCGACATCCGCTAAAACATATAGTTCCAAACATCGGAATTACTTTATAATAATAGTCGTAAGAAATAATAAGCATAATTAAATATGTTGCATTAAAGGATGTTTTAATTTTAATTTTCTATTTTCTTATTAAACTTGTTTTAGTATCTTCAATATTAATATACGTACGAAGACAAATGTAAGTTGAAAACGTTGTCGCATGAGGCTTGTGAGCAACTACCTTTCATGTACATGTAAAAACTAAGATTTACTTTAATTGTACACACACACATATATGTGTATATATATTTGTATATCAATATATGTGTTTAGGTGTGTGTGTGTGTGTGTTAAAGCTAGTTGATAGGTCTTTAAAGTAAGTGTTTTATATTTGTTTGTTTTCTCCAGAAACAGTATAACCGTACCTGATACATGAAACTACGGTAAGTATATCCACTTGAAATATATAAGAAAAATTCTAGGTTTGCTAATATAAATACGTGACCAAGCGTGATGATTCAGAACACTAGTATTTAACAATCGTACTTTCCAAACTTGTGTAAACGACATGGGAAATTGTTTTGTGTTACAATGTTTCATTGTTGTTAACAGATTAGGTCTAGAATTCTTAGCTCCAATCTCCGTGTCACATTCTATTGCTTTTAGACATATATGAAGTTTTTGTACTATTTTCAGCCAGAAATGCATACAGAAGTAAAAAGTTATTTATGTGGTTAATTTTACAGTTTCTAGGCTAAAAGTTACTTCATAGTCAAATTCGATAACGAGGAACCCACTTTGAGACTAATAATGGCTGGAGACGGCTTGAATGGGTAATGAAGAAAAACTTTAATATAAGCTTAACATAACAGCAAATGTACAACGTTTCGACAAGGTTTTGTCGATGATGACAAAACTTTGTCGAAACGTTGTACATTTGCTGTTATGTTAAG